TGATAATAACTTTCTCTAACGTTCTCTTTTGTAACAGAGGCACAATCGTTGAAGAGATGTACAACAATAATTCACAATATAAGATTTAAAGAAAAAAAAAACAGATGTACATTGTCATAGCAATAGACATTTCTTACTATCCTAATACACCGTCTAATAAATACAGTACTTCATCAGTATTTTGATTTTTTTTTTTTTGACAAAACTAATAACGAAAAGAAAAGTACGCATCCAAGGAAATGAACTACACGCCACTGTTCTCGACACCATTCACGCCATTGCCAGGAATTCATGACAATGCGTGACCAATGCCGAAACCCGACGGCGTGCACTCTATCTCCAGGAGAATGCATTAAATTTTATCTGAATAAACTGAAAAGAAACATATAAGAAACTTATAGGAAAAGAAAAGAAAAGAAATAAATAAATGATAATAATAGTTTTTTCCCCTTCTCTTCCCTCCCCTTCCCCTTTTCTTTCCTTTTCCTCTCTCTTTTTTTTCTGTTCTCCTCCCCTCTCCCTCCTCATCCTCTCTCTTTCCATTTTTTTTCTTCCCCACTTCCACAACTTCCTTTTTTTCTTCTTCTTCTCATCATCATCTCTTCTTTCCCTTTTCCTTTTCTCTCCCTCTTCATCCCCTTCCCCTTCTCCATTTTTTTTCTTTTTTCCATCTTTTCTTTCCTTTCCAACAAATTTATTTATGAAAAAGTATTATAGATTTTGTTACTTTCTTCCCATGCTTTAGTTAAAAGAATTTTACAATATTTTTCCTGCCATTTCATAATTAAAAGGAGTTAAAATTGGGTTTAATAACGTTTATCCGCCGACTGAAAGTACAGTTTTTCTTTGAATTTAAAACATCAGGAGAGCGGAATTTTATACAAGGATCGTTGTTGTATATAGGTTGGTTTTAGACCAGTTCAATGCAGCTACAAATCTCCTTTTTTAATCAATTATGCTGACTTTACTCAATAATGAGATTGTCATCGATATTATTTATATTCAAAGCGTGTTGAAGCAACTTGAAAAATGGAAAAAATATCCGAGTGGTTCATCAGTGCACTTTGCAATCGCTTATTAATTTTGGTGGAAAGAAAGGTATTGTGGTTAATACAACGTCACCGGATTAGATGTATGATTAGATGCGGTGGTTTGATGTTTGAAGCTAGGCCTCTCTGTATATTTAGATCGATAGGCCTAGACCTACTTATGTGGACAAAATTAATAAGTTTTATGTTCATCTTCTTGCAATTTCATGACACGTTCCACAATGATGATGATAATTTAAATAATAAAATATTTACAGAAAGCATATTACAGAGTCGGTCATACAGTGATGCATGTCTTGCATGTGGTCGTCGAGAAATATTTACGATTCACGATTCAATTATCATTTTATCAATTAATGAATTTAATAAGTCTTAATAAGCCACAATTTAAAAAAAAAAAAAAAAAAAAAAAGCTAAATTGCGGCTAAAAAAAAAAGGTTGACGAAACACGTTCAGGAAAAGGGGAGGTGTTTTCAAGTCAAAGTTTAGAGGACGTTAACACAACGTCCCTGTTATAACTTTCCTACATCGGGGCTTCAGGAAATTTCTTACCTTCCTATTTCAGGAAATAATGGCTCATTGTGATCATTATTTTCCCTTAAAAACTATAGAGTAACTATTTTCATGTTTATTAGAAAGACACAAACACTTAAATCTATAGTTACTGTACCAATGGTTGCCGGGGTCACTGCGACCACGTGCAAGCTAGCTTTGTATTTACTGTAATTGTATTGGTCTTCGTAACCGTAATACTGGATTAAATGATAGCTATTTACAGTATAAGTAAGCGCTGATTGTAATGCTTAAAAAAAAATACAAAAAAAGTACTCTTGCAACCATTTTTTCCTTTTTAGTAACAGATTAAACTTTTTTAAGTGTATGTACATTTATGTAGCATTGAGCCAATTAGTTTAATAATAAAACTCCGTGATTTTATCAGTAATATAAAAATACTGGTCTCGATCATTATTAAACAGTCTGTTAAAAACAACTGTTATATTAAACCGGACGGATATCAGTTACAGAGCCTACCAATAAAGTTCGTTGACTGTTGCATCAATGTCTAGCGGGGACAGGATTCCATAATATTGAATCAAAAAGTACAGAACACAATTTTGGTAAGAAAGTTCACTGTATAAAGGGTTCGTGAACTTGGATAGAGACGATTCCTAATTCCCAGTTTAATCCTACATCGGGGCTTCAGGAAATTTCTTACCTTCCTATTTCAGGAAATAATGGCTCATTGTGATCATTATTTTCCCTTAAAAACTATTTTCATGTTTATTAGAAAGACACAAACACTTAAATCTATAGTTACTGTACCAATGGTTGCCGGGGTCACTGCGACCACGTACAAGCTAGCTTTGTATTTACTGTAATTGTATTGGTCTTCGTAACCGTAATACTGGATTAAATGATAGCTATTTACAGTATAAGTAAGCGCTGATTGTAATGCTTAAAAAAAATACAAAAAAAGTACTCTTGCAACCATTTTTTCCTTTTTAGTAACAGATTAAACTTTTTTAAGTGTATGTACATTTATGTAGCATTGAGCCAATTAGTTTAATAATAAAACTCCGTGATTTTATCAGTAATATAAAAATACTGGTCTCGATCATTATTAAACAGTCTGTTAAAAACAACTGTTATATTAAACCGGACGGATATCAGTTACAGAGCCTACCAATAAAGTTCGTTGACTGTTGCATCAATGTCTAGCGGGGACAGGATTCCATAATATTGAATCAAAAAGTACAGAACACAATTTTGGTAAGAAAGTTCACTGTATAAAGGGTTCGTGAACTTGGATAGAGACGATTCCTAATTCCCAGTTTAAGTATTTCGATGATTGGTGAGTTGAGGAGTTTACAGGGTACTATGAAAGGACAACAAAAAAGAAACATCGAATTCGGACGCTCGGCGGACATAAAGATTGTCAAAATAATTCTGATAGCGATGCACAGATGGTATGTAAATTTATGGCTTGCAAATGAGGAGTTATTCTGATACAGTTTATCCTGTGATAAATCACATGTTAACTACGAAGTTAAAGTTTAAATTAGATGGTGAAAACGATTAGTTCAGGTACTTGCACTGTTCTGAGAGTCACTGTTCACTGTTCCCTGCTGGAAATCATGAAAATATGTTTAGCTATTTGTATTTGATATATTATTGCATTTAACGGGTCATTCAATGTGACGGAAATTTGATTAGAATGTAGAGACGGATTAAAATAATCCAACGAGTGAGTATTAAATCAGTGTAACATTTTCCCCCAAAGCTGGAAATCTGTTTAATATGTATATACATAATATTCCATCACACTTTGATGTTAAATTTAAATTAACACGTAGCTTTGACAGTCAATGATACGTCATGTTTAAGTCATACTTACCCATAGGCATTCATTGCTATATTATCTTTCTTACGCTTCGACGCTCTAAAGTTACGTTGCGTTTGTACGCGTCAACATAATGCTAAGTTGTGTTGACGTGTTGGAAAAACACTATAATTACAGTATGTCGTACTTACGCGCTAAATGTAACGCTCTGTGGTGTTAATGCATTGGAAGACAATCATAACTTTGACAACAGGTTAGTTGGTAATAATTAACAGAAAATAAAATTCGTACTTAAAAGAGCTATCGGAGACTTACCGCCAATATGCTAAATCAAATAAAACGAAATTATAATTAATGATCACGGAATATGTGTGGTTACGGGCGATAAAAGGAGGAACAACTTCAATTTACGAGGGGCTAACGAGTTGGTAAAGGAAGGTGAATATATTAACTATACCGAAGCGGAAAGGGTAACAACGGTCGATGACAGTTGGCTAATGAGACAAAAAATAAATAGTTTTTTTGTTCAAGCATAGTGACATATATTTTGGTAATCAGGGTCGATCGGAAATTTCACTAGGCCTAATTTTATGATTTTTTTTCCAACAATCACTCGTCCCATACAATTAATTTTCGTTGGTTAAAAGTAGTTAAATAAAGGACTAAATTTCATAGGCCTGGTTAACCTATCAATTATTTATAAGTTAAAGCTTCAAAGTGGTCTTTTCTCACGACTAAGCACGTCTCCACTCCATAGACTCGTATTTTGCGCAATATAAATGAATAACCTCTAACCTTTAACCATATGAGGACTCTTAATGAGTATTTATCACCGTAAGAGGCCCCTGACCAGCCGACCTTTAGGTTATCGTCAAAAAGTAAGTTAGGCTTGACAAAAAACTTCTCAAAATTTCGAGTAGGTAATTTGGCTTTGGAAACATAACACTTTTTTTGGCTTCATCATGACCAGTTTCTTGATTCGCAAGAAAACGAGAACCTCCTTATTGGATTGGATTTATTGGGTGTAAACACCAAGGATAGCCCACGAAAGTCTAAAGAAGAATTATTTCCAGTGGGGTCCTTCTGGTGGTGATTGAGCAGTACACCGGGAGACAATCCCCTACTCTTTTCCGAAGAGTGTACTGCGTTCTTTAACGAGCACATGGGCCATAAATGCACACGGGACCAAACGTCTCATCCGAAAGACGGTGCGCTATTGTAACAGTTGCGTTCTGCTCAAGGAGAGGCAGCGATGTGAATTGAACCGGGGACAAAGAGATCTTCACGGTTCAGCGCACACACAGTGGCTACTACTGCCCACTGAGCTAAGCTGCTCTCAGAAATGTATTTCTATACTAATTTAACATTTGCATGTGTTAACATATGGAAATCCTCAAACACTCAAGTACCTTAAATAATTGAGTTGCTCATTTAAAAGAGTTGTACAGTATATAAGTTAGTTGTAGCTATAGATCGAAAGAATTCACTACCCGATTTAGAGACATTTTACTTCGAAAACACTTTAAAATAAAGTACGGTACTTAACAAGAACTTTACTATGCCAACAGAATAATAAACGGTATTGTGTATAAATCGAAATTGACGAAGAATACATTTCCTTGATCTGTTTTTTAATCCAAAACCAATAATGTATAAACAATGTAAGAAATTAAATTAATTTTTTATCAGTTTAACAGAATGAGAGTAGCCTACATTTTGTTTTTATTGTCAGGTGACCAATCATTTTGTACGCGTTCTGCTCAGTTTAAGATTCGGTTCCACCATAATTTTTAATTTTGTATCTTATTATTGGTGAACTTAATACAGAGTGAATGGACAAGAAGTCAAAATAATGGAAAATAACAATGCTGTGGGTAACAATGGCAGCTCGGTAGAGATACAATACTGATAGGCAACAGCTTTTAAAACTGTAAGAATAGAGACAGAAATGGGAAACAGTACAAAGTGGTTGCCTTTCACCAGGTGATAGGGCTACAAAAACAATCGAGAATCATTTAAAGCTTTGTTTCCATACAATCGCTACACGCTATCGCCGAAAGTTCTCGGTGATGCTGATTGGTCGGTCGAATCGAGAAGCCTTCCCGATTGCGCCGGGGACTGCTACGCAGAACAAAGATTGGGCTGAACACTGCAGCGATAGTGTAGCGACTTTTACGGAAACCACGCTTTAAAATCACGCAAACTCTGTCGAACCATCGAAAAATGTACTTTAATATTTAGTAGCCATATTATGCATTTTAATTTATTACAACATTTTTCGATCTTACAGCTGCGCATTTTCGCAACAAAAATGCACTAAAAATAGAATAATAAATCAAACTAAAAACTAGTTATTATTTATATTTTTATTGCCTATCATACATTGTTACTATTTAAACGTAAACAATATTTGAATTTTAGTGAATGAAAGCTACGGTAACGTATACAAAGAACTCGTTTTAAAATAAAATATTTTAGAATTTAATAGCTGTAGTAAAGCTACAGAATTCGAATAGAATAAAAATAGATCAAGAGAAAAGTATAACACTGCCCCTAAATATGCTGTACGTAAATTCTTTTTTCGTCCTGTCCTTGTAATGTTCTTTTATTATTCATGTTATTTCAGCTTTGTGTGAACAAATCGATTATTAGTATTTTGTATGTGTATACATTATACACTAGTGCATGTGCAGACACATAGCATAGTATATAAAACGTTATAACACATGACCAACGTTATATTGTTCAAATCTGTAACTATTATATGAAGTCATGCATTCCAATACCGTCTGAAAATATACAGTAATAAATACTCATTTTAAAGTACTGTAATAATAACAATAACTTGTACAGTACTCGGTAATACTTGCTCCATAAAGGTTAGCAGTATCTTACGTTGTAAGAAAGAAGTAATTATTAGTGAGGGCATACTCCAACCCTAGTCTTAAGGAAAAGCAGCATTTAGAGCTGGTAAAATATACTCCTTATTAAAAAAAATCTTCTTAGTCTAGTGTTTATAAACTATTAAAGAGTATCTTATATAACTACCATATAATGTATTTGGAACGTTACAGCAAGAATAGGAACCTTTTTTTTTCTGCACATCATGATTTGTGTATCTTGTTGTCCATGTATTCGTCTTTTCCAGTCGACTCATCATATGTTTTGTTACATTTCTGCTAATAAATCATTGTATTTTATAGGTCAAACATAGGAACGGATGGAGTATGACCCAAATTTAAACAAAAACAAAATCTGCTAACTACCTACTTTGATAATTGATTTACACAACAAAAACAATGAGTATAAAATTGAGTCCAAAAATATATCAAATTATCATTATTATCTTACACAAATTGTTACTAAAATCACTGGTACATCGTGGAAGTATGATCTTGTAGTTTCCAAAATTTGCATAAATATGACTTCATCATTTTTGTTAGTACAAACTAAACACAAAAGAAACGAGAACAATTTTGCTCATTTTCTTTGTGGTTTGTCTCTCTTCTTATTAAAATTGTTCCAGTAGTCTTCGTCTGGTGGTAAAATAGGTTGGCTAGATGACGTCAATTCAGAAAAAGTCAGATGTTTAAAATCTGGGACGATAGAGGGCTCACTCTCCTGATAGAAAACGAAAGTAGCAATATAGTTAATACTGGATAATACTTTTTTCCCCCCACTTAGGAATGGGATTATGTCTTATGTCTGGCTTGATAATTCACTTATCTCACGGCATGCATTAAACAAAAACAGCACTTGGCTTCTATAATCAATCCAGAATCACTAGCGTCCAGAGACAATCGTAAATCAACAACAATAACAAACCAGGGAAAACTCAATGTTGACAGAATCAACACAAGCATTACTTTCTCTGCATTGCAGTCATAAAAAACAGACAAAAAAAAAAACAACTACTACAGGAATGTGCTGTAATTACACAATAGTACTGTATTCATTTTTTATTTTGAATTTTTGTAATTTTTTAATTGTATATACAATTATTGATTTGTTAATTTAATTTGCAAGTAAATTTAATCATAATTTAGTTAATTAATAATTTAGGAATAATAATAATAATAATAATAATAATAATAATAATAATAATAATAATAATAATAATAACAATAATAATAAGCATTTATAAAAGGGTGATATGAGACCATTAGTCTGTTGGAGCATCAATTAATTTTAGTGTTTCATTTGCAAGGAAATTTAATCATAATTTAGTTAATAATAATAATAATATATAGCGCTGCTGTTGTTTGAATAAAACCAGAATATATATAATATTCTGCCTCTGTTAAAATTTGGGAAAAAGTTTAAATGTTTAATTAGAGCATGGTATTGCACATCAAATAAGTTATTGACTTTCATTGGAGACAATGATCGTAACAAGAATTACTCTCTGCATTGCAGGTTTAAGAAAAAATACCAGTAGGAATAAACAACACAATAATGGAACAAAGCCTTTGATAATAGGAGTATTGTATTGTTTTGTGCAAAAATAAAGTATACAGCCTAATTAATACAATTTAAGTACCATTAATTAATTAATTAATTATAATTAAATACATCATAACTGATTTATTAGGTTGTATTAAAGCATCATATAGTACATTTACATAAAAAAATACAGCCTTTAAAATAATTAAATTAGGTTGTACTTTTGCTTAATTAGGTTAAATAAGTGTGTGAGAGCTCCTCCCTTTAAGCCTCTATTACGACATGGTTTGTTCCATTGTTGTGGTAATTCTTACTGGCATTTTTTCCTACTGGCATTTTTTCCTACTGGCATTTTTTCCTACTGGCATGTTTTGATTTCCCTGCGTTGCAGTCCTCATAAAAAATAAACAAATAAAAAAAAGTAGAGGAATGTGCTGTAATTAGATAGTTTTCTGTCTCTGTTAAAATTTGGAAAGATCTTAAATGTTTAATTTGAGCATTGAATCGCACATTACATAAGTTATTGACTTTCAATGGAGACAAGTAAGTAAGTTTTACAGATTTAAAGACTTCTATTACAGATATCTTTGGATTGTCTGCCAAGCAATTTAAGAGTCTACGCAATGGTGTTATTTATGCGTTTGTTAATTGGCTCCGAAATATTTTCTCATTTTAAGTTTTCAATTGAAAGTTAATAACTTACTTAATATACGAAGAAAGCAATTTTAATATTAAAATATATTCTCAAGTTTATTACCTAAACATTGAAAGTGTATCATTAATAACTGAAAATGTAATACAGTTGGCATATTTCAAAAATCAAATAATTGATTGTATTCTAATTCCACAATGATATGGCTTAAGTTAGTTCAAAAAATAGAAAGCACCATGGCAGTATAGATTTGAGTATTTCATAGAAGAGTTATGCGATTCTAATAGTACTGTATACATAACGGGACACAAGGCCCAATGTTACAAATGTGTGTGATGAGGGAGGTATTTAAATACCTTCTTGGTGTGATGATGCTTGTCCAGTAAAGTTTTAAGAGAGAGCAGCTTAGCTCAGTCGGCTAATCTGGTGGTAGCCACTGTGTGAGCGCTGAACCGTGGAGATCTCTAGGTCCCCGGTTTAATTCCCATCGCTGCCTCTACTTATGTTTCAGCTGGCAGGTTGAAATACAAGGAACAATAGCGCACCGTCTTTTGGATGAGACGTTTAAGCCGTTAGTCCTGTGTGCATTTATGGCCCATGTGCACGTTAAAGAATGCAGTACACTCTTCGGAAAGAGTACGGGATTGTCTCTCGATATTCTGCCCAATCACCACCAGAAGGACACCACTTGAAGTAAGACTTCTTCTACTCTTTGGTGGGCTATCCTTGGTGTTTACACCAAATAAATCCAACCAGCTCTCATGAATCTTTGGGGTTTTTGTATGTTTGTTATTGTATAGGATGTGGTCTTTGCTGTTCTGGTTGTTCTGTTTATCTTTGTGTCGTTTGCAGTTTTTTTAATGGATTGGGGAGAATTGGCTTGGACTGTACAACTATAAAGAGTGCAACAACAACAACAACAACAACAACAGCAACAACAACAACAACAGCAAAACAACAAAAGCAATAACAACAACCAATACTAATAATAATAATAATAATAATATATTAATAATAATACCAATAATAATAATAATAATAATACTGTAGTAACGAACATGATAATAATTAATAAGCATCAGGATCTGCATGTGTGCGACATATATGCTTTCATGGTGCATGTGTACAGTAAACCCCAATACAAGCATGAATCTACTGTATACTATTGTAGCAGTGCATGTGTGAACGCCATGCATCCACGAATCAGCTATACTAATGCGACAAGAGTGTGAACGCATAAAAACATGAATATTATACTAATGGAAGAAGTGCAGTTCTTTAAATTGTCTCTAAGTAACCATGTTTTTGCAGAAGCATTGTAGTAATTCAGTTTTAACATTGAACTCAAGGGATTACATTGCCAACCTTTCTCTACTTGTGACGTACTAAAACCTTTTCGCTAATAACACCACTGGAGGTATAGGCACTCACTAACGGATTACTGTTTTATTATGCATTTACAGAAAGCTTTTTTGAGCATTGTAAATTTGACAAGATATCAGTTGGTATGTACTTGTGTAGAATGCAAATGTTGAAAGCCTTTAGCTCTTGTATGCATACACTATAAGTTTGATGTGACAAACATCAGTGATTTTTGCCCATATGGGTGTGTTATTACATCATCAAGCCCATATATGGGTATGTTATGACATCATCATGCCAATTGTAAATTTTACAAGATATCAATGTGTACTTGTGCAAAAAGAAAATTCTGACAGCCTTTAGCTCTTGTGTACACTTTCAAGTCTGATGTGGCAAACATCAGTGATTTGCCCATATATGGGAGTGTTATTACAGCAACATGCCCATATATGGGTATGTTATGACATCATCATGCCAATATTTGAGTGTACTTGTGCAGAGTGCCAATGCTGACAAACATCAGTGATTTGCCCATACATGGGTGTGTTACGACATCATTATCCCCATATATGGATGTGTTATGACATTATCATGCCAATATATGAGTGTGTTATGACATCATTATAGTGGACATAGCTTTATAGCAATAAATTATGAGTACTTGGTTATTTCTACAGACCATTTTTTACTACTGCTAAAACTGTCAAATAGATAAGACAACTGAACAACCTTCTCCAATCCATATTCACTTTACATTAGATCAAACGTAAAAGAACAAACAAAACCAATGAAATTGTGCGCATTTAAAATAATTGCATTACATTCATAATAAGATTTCATATCTATGTATCAATTCCAATGTCGGACACATTAGTATGTTTATAGCCATCTTTTGCTACAGAAAAGCATAGCATTAAATAATCAATATTTTAGGAGGCATGGAAATTTTAGTTTGACACATTTTATTAGAGCCTGTAAATTATTTCATTAATGGCGTACAGTAGTTGCATGATGGGATACATGGCTCATAAATCATAATAAATTGTAACAAACTTGCGTAGTAGTCAGGTATATGTTTAAATTTAGAACGATATGAGACGATAAAATATATCAAAATCAATATCTGGAACGTATTAATCAGCGGGATGTTCAGAACGTGGAACCAAATGATCCTCACTAGAGGCAATATCATTATTTTTTTTACTGCATGGCAGTGGAACTGTCTGGTAGTAGGTATGTTTTCCCGGTGTACTTGATATTAAAAACCTGACCAGACTATCAAATTTTATTTAACAAAAACATGTGACATGCCTAAATATGGTCATGATGACATCACATCATGACCATATATAGGCACATCATGACTATATATGGGCATACAACAGTTTTTTTGTCAAAGAAAATTTAATAATCTGGACAGAGTTTTAAAGAGGACCTGCCAGTGGCAGGGACAGCCGGAGGTCAGGAATGACCTCTGGCCAGCATTGACCCCTGACCAGCATTGACCCCTGACTAGCATTGACCCCACTGTTTGTGATGTAAAGCACATTTTTTTAACAATCCTAAAACTATAAAGTAACCCCAACCCACCTCCACCGGACTGCAACACTCCAGCCCCCTAACTGTATTGAAATTGCTCTTTGCTAAGGGTTAGCAATTCTATAATGAATAATTCAGATATAAATAATAATAATAAAATAATAATCTTAAGAGTTAAATAATTAAACGCTTTAAGAAATTAAAATACACTTTCAGGTTTTGTTGATCAATTGCACGTTTTTAGCTTTATAAAATTTATTTTGCAACTAAATGCTTGAATAATGCAAGCAAAGGGTTGTATTATTCAAGATCTTAGTGTTCTGAGAATTATTTTAAATTGATGGTTTTAAATGTTAATATTTTATCTTCTATAATATTTAATGCTTTACAGTTTTTGTACCTGTACGAGAGCCTCTCTGAGTTAACATGAGGTGAGTGCAACTCTCTTAAAAAAAAAATTTGAATAAATTTGAATAAATATGTCCTATTATACAAGACTTGACAAAAATGTACAGTTAAGTGATATTAATGTTTATTCAAAGCAGGGAATTTATTCAAATACAGTAAAAGTGATCACTCCGTAGAGTACAAACCTAAACCTTAACCTTCATCTTGAATACCAAGAAAATGGAGGGGAAAACAAAAAATGTGACTTTCCATGACCTTGACCTTTAACATTTCACCCCAAAATTTCACCTCTTCCTTAAAGCAATGTGTACAGTTACACTAAATTGTATCAAGACCTTTGCATAATCCTGCTGACCAACTAACAGACAGAAAAAAAGCAGTAAATACATAGTCAGCCGCCTCAGTGGAGTTAATAATAATTTTAAAAAATCATTAATATTAATAACTATATAACACAAATATAATTTGAACGTTAGGTAGCATAGTGGCTGGAGATGGACATTTTTTTTTTATTACTAGATATAACTTAAAATACTTCTAAAAATAAGTACAACTTTTTGAAACAGTAGCTTTGTTAATCTGCAAGAAAAACAATTTATATCTTTGAGATCAAAAGAAAATCTGTACAGATAATTAGGCTCAAGTGGTCTATAAATGGCGAAACAATACCTGCAAAATCTGCAGCCCTTTTGTACAAACATCTATCGTCTGATCTTTATTGATGCCCATATTTTATTGTTATTTGTCTACCCTTGGCTTTGTTACCTGAATGTTGGGATATATCTAGCAGCTCCTTAATTACATGTGCCAACCTAAGCGAAAATCTCATTAATTACCGTGCAGGCAGTAAGAAAACAGGACCAGGTTGAGATAGTCTGTGTGGCTTTCACACAAATGAACAAACAGTATTTGCCTTAATTCTTACCAATAATGGGCAGAGATTGCATTGGGGCTTAAAAAAAGGAATACGCTTGAAACGATTCAATCAGCTTTCCTAGACTTTCATCTTCTCATCAAAACTGTCGAATATTTTATCAGATTAAAAGATTAATGTGCGGGATTGCTAACGGATTGTGATCACGCAATGTCCACTTTGGCCGAAGGGCCTTGACAATGGTGACCACACAATGACCAGTAAATGCTTTAATGGAAATATTATTTAATAATCATGTTAAATAACTCTCTATCGGGTTTATGCTTAGATTACAACAATTTGACTGCAAACCAGTAATGGCTGATTGAGGTTTAATTAAGTTAGTGGTAATCTGGACAATGGACAAGACAGAACTTGTATAAACATTTTTTTTTTTTTTAAATTATGGAGCTACTATAAAATACTGTAAGTTTCAAAACAATATGGCTAAATTACTTATGTTCTTGTGAAAATGACTCCATGTTTGACTGTCTTAACCCAATAGTATAAATAGATGAATGATTTGAAATGAAACACAGGGTTTCTTTTTTGTTTTCTAATCTAGTTAAAGTTTAATTGAATTTTTAACTTGGTTAACTAGTTTATGTGGATTTCTAAATAATTATAGTTTAAGTTTAGTTGGTTTCATGACTAGGTTTAGTATTTTAGTTTTAGTTCCTAACTGGGTATAGTTAGTTTAGTTTTTTTTTTAACTACAATAGGTTTAGTTAGTTCAGCTGGTTTCCTAAATGTGTATAGTTAATTTATTTTCTTTTTAAATACAATAGGTTTAGTTAGTTTAGCTGGTTTCCTAACTGGGTTTAGTTAGTTATAGCTGGTAAGTTGGTGTCCTAACTACTTTTAATAATACATGAACAAAAAATAAATCCAATAGCAATAACATTATCTATTTTTGGATTTTTATAGAACCTCCTATATAACAACCCGAGAGTTTTGTATCACTGGTCGTTGGATGTAGAATCAATCCTACACAATACGTAATGTTTTCCGTTCCCTGCGGAATATTCCCAGTCATGCAAAAACATTCTTCACGGACAAATTTCATTTTAATTCATTCACGTCTTATCAGTTACCGATTAAATTAATGCTGTTAGAATCAACTTGCACTATTATTTACTACATGTGTGTTATGGATATCAAAATTGCTATTTATTTTATAGTACAAGATAAGATAATGTTTGTTGTTGAAAGTAATAATCATATTGTATATCATTCTATTCAAGCAAAGCTGATTAACAATGTACTGTATGCTGAAATAAAGTAAACTATAGAGGGCGCAATTGAGAAAATTGTAGGATATTAAAGAAAACATGGTTATAAATCTGGGTTTAAATTTAACTGAAACTTTATAGTTCGATGTCAGAATTTTGTTGGAAACAGCCTTAATATGAAGTTAAGATTTTACAAGGTGGTAGACATGTTTATTAAGCAAAATAATGTGCATTTCTGAATGAATTAAAAGATTAAAAAATATACATTTCATATGTAAGTAAGTTTGTCGCTTTCATTTATCAACTTGAACAAAAATTTGGTCTTTTTAACTAATTAACAGATATTGTTTCTTTATTTTTTCTATACATCCTTAAATATTATGTCAACATTGAGAAAAATATAGATATATAGATTATTATGTTCAAGTATATATTACACTTGGAGTATGTATTATACAGATGTGTATAAGAGACAGATATATATATATATATATGAATTTAAATTCAGTTAAAATGGTTTCATTTTTTACTTTCTATCAATGATTTTTTTACTTAAGAAAATTTCACTAACATAGAAAATTGCTTTCTGGTATTTTGTTAATTTTGTTTTATATTATAACTTAACTAAGTTCCCTCTTGTGACACTGCCAACTCATTGAATTTATTGTATTTGTATTTTGAATATGTTTTCAACCATTAAGTTGTAGTTTATTTTGTTTTGTTTTTTGGCAAATAAAGAAAAAGAATAAGATTATTTGCTCTTAATTAAAAATATTTCCTCGCTCATTAAAATTCACACACAACACCATTCCTATAATCTATGCATTGAATGAATGAATTTAAAGAGTTGTGTAGTAAAATATCTGCAGATCAACAAAAACAGAATTGTTTTCGATCAGAAATTGATTTCATTGATTCTTTTAAATGAACATTAAAGTTTATATTTGAATTTCAGATTTATCTTTAAAATAACTGTAAAGTCTGACATTGTGAAGGTGATAGATTATCAGGTAAACATTTTAGTGAAAATAAAAACAATTCTTTTACAATGCTCGATATATAATAGACCTCTCTACTAAGCCCTGTCCCCTTAAATATTGTTGTTTTGTGTAAGTCCCACAAAACGAAAGCATAAACATAGATTACGAATTTCGCACACGAAATAAAATATACAAGTAGTCCCTGCGTAAAGACAACTTGATTTCTTGTTTCTTACAAGGTATCCATTTGTAGAAGTCTTAAGAAGATAAGCCTATCCAATAGTGACGTTCAAGTGTCGGGACCAGGACATACCTTAAACTTTAAATGAACAAGGATTGAAAAATGTTATACGGATACAATGTATACACAGGCCCAGTTCTAAAGTCCAGTTAAGCCTACACTAATCCAAAACATGTCTTTCACAGTCGTGTGTGTAGAGCGTGTAGTGTAGAGTGTCATTTACGGCCATCCAGAGGTCCCCATTTTTGAAAAAAAATCTCATTTAGGAGGGGGATACCCCTCCTCGTCCTCAGTCATACAAGCTCAAGAACCACCATGTTGGACAGTTTATCCCCTGTAAAATGTATCTTAGAGCCGCCACTAAACAGGTCTGCTTGCGTGAAGTGTGCATGTTCCTGGTCCTGTTTTGATAGGTCGGTTGTTAAATTTGAATCACAAAAGATGATCTTACTTCAATCAAGTGTGAAATGGGTACCTAGGCAGATATTAATTTGATTGAATGATATTGCTCTATGCTAGCTTATATTAATGAATGAGAGTGACCCCCAAGGAATGAAGATGATATCAACAAATTCCTTGTAATGGAAAATATTCCGTGACCCATGCAATTATAGTAATTATTATTAACATTTTACTTACTTTTCCCAGGGGTCGTCGGAGTGCAACAGCTACAAAGTGTTCATCATCTAATTTTGTCTCCTGGAACTTCCACTGAGTAGCTAGGCACCCATCTAAGACAAGTTGTGTGTCTATGGTAATTGTACCAGGGCTTAAAGTGAGTGTCTCAGGCTTGAAGGATATCCTCTGTAGGTCAAATCCTAGGCCTATGCCAATTGCTTTTATGTAACTCTCTTTAAGACACTGCGAAGACAAAAATTTAATTTGGTTATTTTTTAATCTTATACATTTATATGAACATTGGTCCCAGAATGATTGCCAGTCACGGTGATAAAGAATTGGGCTACCGCTTGACAGGTCAAAAGTCAAGTTTTTGGGGCCGAGGCTCGTAGCTTCAGTATTGTACTTTATTATTGTGTTTTATTGAGGGCTTTTCAGTAATATAATAAATGCCCAAATACTGGCCTAACAACAGATTATGGGTTAAAATGTTTTAATTTCATATTCAATACATTCTCAACTGTTTTTGTTTTGTTTTTTGTTTTTTAACCATATTTATAGAAGGTGACCCTTTCAGCTCACCTAGAAGGTCAACTGATATTCAGGGGCAATCTTTAAATAAATGAAATAGACTGATGCTCTTATTAGCGAACTCTCTTTATGAGGCTTAGGGAGTAGAGTTGGTTTTTTTTCCCCTGTCACAGGAATTGAACCCAGGACCTTGGGACTAGAAGGTAAGCATCTTAACCAGCTCTATTCAATCCACACCAACATTCATAAAAATTGTGGACCTTTTCAATTTTTGGTGGGTGGGTGGGCATGCAAACCAATATTATCATGGTAATTGTTACCATTTCAAAGTTATCTTCATGATCTTAACTGTTAAAAAAACTTGATGTAAATTTAGATTTTTTCACAATAAAAAAAAAATTACCCAGTGTCGGTAAAACATCTCCATCTGTTGCTTGCCAGTGCCTGCACCTTTTATTGTCTTCCACTCCGCAGGTGTAAACTGACGGTTCATCAACCGAAAGTACTCCTCCACTCGCACAGCTGAAAATGATAAATAATACAACATTTTGTTTTCAGACACAAATTATAATATGAATGTTTTATAATCATGTACAATTATTGACTACTTAGATTATAGTAAGTAGATGAAAAGAAACTTTGTTGGGCTTTTAAAATATTAGGTTTCTTTTAACAGAGACCAGTTGACTTTACTAAGATTTTACTCAGCTACCAATCTTTGCGTTCACACAGCTCAATGCAAAAAGTAGAATAGTAGGAGTTTTGGTCTGAATCACACCAAGTATACAGTAACCCATTAATGTCCAAAGACTTGTTTCTAGCGGGGTCTCTATCATGGTAAATTGGACAGTACACTGAAAGGCAATCCCCCCGCTTTTTGCCGAAAAACGTAGTGTATAATGGGCACATGGGCCAACAGCTTAAACATGCTATCCGAAAAACTTGTATTTCAGCCCTCCAGCTGAAGCACGAAGAGACCAACGATTGGAGTTCAACCAGGGATCATCAAAAATCTCAAATGATCTGCAGGCTCCTGCACAACCAATGTTCAGTATTTGTACCATAAGTAAAATGTCTATATATTCGAAGCGTACAGAATTTTTTCGCCTTGAACATAATGCTATTAAGCACACAGAACCTACAACTTAATGTCAAATTTGACATAATGCTATTAAGCACACAGAACCTACAACTTAATGTCAAATTTGAAGGATAAGAAAAATTACTATTTCTAAAAAAATAATAACAACAATTAGTTAGAATAATTTGTAAATCAAAATAACTTATAACTTGAAACCTACTTGGCATTTCAACTTTCATGACATCAATACCACACCCCCAACTGGACTCGAGAGCAACAACAGCATAGTCCCCTTGATGAGATGCGTTAAAGTTGAAATTTGTCGCTAAATCGGTGTCAACTATTGAGTTCTTATCCTCGAGGTATGGTTTCCCCTTATCTGTCCTTGCCAATTTTATGTCCTGCCATAATATATCTGTAAACTCGGATTCTGCAATTACCTTGCGAAGAAGTAATCGTCCACACTGCAAGATTAAAAAAATAAATTACTTTAATTTCTACACATTTATTATTTGGTTGTAAAATTGATGCAATAGTATCATTATCATTATCCTTGCCTCACCGAAGCAGAGATGAAGGGTATTGCAATAACGCACGCCTGTGTGTGTTGTGTGCGTGTCCTTCCAGGTGCGTAAATCAAAAACTACAGGACCGATTTACTTCAAATCTTCACACATTGACAATGTTGGATGTATCTCGGAACTCCTGTAATTTGGTGCTAATCGAAAGATGCAGATATTAGAATGTTTATATGGTGCTAGGCCTCCTTTGGCTAGGCTGAGCCAAATCGAGCAGACTGACCGTGAGCCAGAGTAGTGGGTGTGTCAGTGGGTGTGATTCTGGCAAGTGGACTGGAAGCGGTCTGGCTGGCATGCAAACTCGCCTGATTGATGGGCTTGCCAAGAGAGACCTACAGGGTATGATACTAGGCCTCGTTTGGCTAGGTCGAGCCGCCTACTCGAGCGGATCGACCGAGGGCCAGAATAGGGGGTGTGTTAAGAATTTATTGCTAACTGGAATTAGACTGCAAATTTTTGAATTTTTAAAAGATTTTTCATTATATAGGGAAAAGGCTAAAATGTACATACTGTAAATGCTATTATTTATTCAGTAAAAAATATGGCACAAAATGAGCAAGGGTTTGTAATCACATATTATCTTGTTACTTAGTTAAAAAATTGTCCTATTATGTTTTCTCTTTGATCGTTTGGCTCCATTATGAAGGACTTAAGTTACCACAGCGAAATGTGTGCAAAAGTTCTTTTTGAAGGCTGGAATAGGCTATACCGTTAAGCTGTGGCAGATTAAAATTTCTTACAATTATTAATGCTATTAACGATGGTGGTAATGATGATAATGATGATGATAATGATGATGATGATGATGATGATGATGATGATTATAATAATATTCAAATATTTTTGTCTGGTTTGCTTTTAATGATTTTAGAACTGTTTAATCGATAATAAATCAAGTACAATTTGATGTAAATTTACTGTGAGCTTTCGTTGATGTTATCATGATCTTTACCTTCATCATGCTTTGTCAGCTGGCATTCATTGTTTTTAGCTCTGGTGCCAGCTATCTGCAAATCAGCCATCACTAACCATATGGTTGATCATGACCAAATCACCAACTAGGACGACACCAAAATAACAAGGAAACAAAAACAAAACGAGATGAACAGGGACAACGGAGCATACAAGCTTTCCCTTTTTATTTATTTTTTTCCCTTTTCCTTTTTATGACCAACTCCTTCAACCTGAGAGGCCGGTTGCCTCGGAACCAATCCTGACAGGAAGAGAGCTAGCACCACAAGGCACTGTACACAAAATTCCCAAAATAATGAAGGCTAGCCCGCATAGGCTGACGAATTTATGTTGATAACATCGATGAAAGCTCGCAGTACATTTTCATCAAATTGTGACTTGTCTATTACCGATGAAACAGTTCTACAATCATAATAAGCCCCATTCCCCCTTAAATATTGTTACTGTAAGTCCCACAAAACGAAAGCACAAACGTACACGAAATTTACTAAAACATGCATTTGTGAGACATGTTCCTGGGCCTATTCTGATTGGTCTGTTGCTAAATTTGATTGACAACAGATGATTAAAGTAATCATGATGATTTATTTATTTATTTATTTCGGTATAAAATGTACAACAGGCAGCCAGCCTACGCAGCTAGTTCATTGTTAATCAATTGCACTAAAGTTGGAATTGGTGACTTTCTAAAACCTTCTGTTTTGGACCTACACTAAATGATCAATATAATGATAGCACGTGTATGTCCTTGTTAATACTAACCATAGCAGCTCTAGCGTCATTTGCAAAATGAAACTTCGCTATCCTATCCTTCTCTTCTTTCTGAATACATCTCGATGCTAACATCCATTCTTCTTTTGTTGGCTTCCAGGAACCAAAACGAAAGGCATATCGAACACTTCCCATGATCTGTCTAAAATAAATTAGTAAATAGCAAATACCTAACCAAAATATAATTCCAAATTACAGAAGTGAAACTAACAATTAATTCAATATCTGGCATAATATTACTGACTTATTGAAATATACAAATTAATAAGCATTTCAATTTGTTTAATGTATTATACTTAGGTTACAATATACTAATTGGTAATGGTAATGGTTGGAAACTTACCAGTAGTTAAATTGGTTTTTACCTGTATAGATTTCAATGTACAACCTTGTCAACCTCTTCTGATGAGCTGTATGTAGGCCTCTGAAGTAATATAGCCTAAGACACAGAATATAAATAATATGACTGTAGGATTATGATGGGTACCGAGACTGCCAGTACATTTACTTAAAATTCAATATGCAAAAATCAATCAACATTTCAAAAGATGTGAACTCAAAGCCTAGCTTACATGTGCTGGTATGCTGAGCTAGTATAAAAACATGAGGGTTGTGTTGGGTCAGTTGGTATGGCAACATAATCAAGCACTATAAACGATCCATCTGATAAACGATTGTTAATTTCTGAGCAGATTAATTATAAATTATGGAGAAAAAAGTGTAGGCCTAGGCATATAATTATTTGGCCCCTTATTACTACTCTACAGTACTCCCTGTCAACAATCACTTGTCCTTACTTTTATGCAACCATCGAACATGGCCTGCTGTTAAGCAATAGTTTCATATTCTTACTTTAGGCCTATCTATGCTAGTACTTTCTCTTCTAGCTTAACTAGAGAGTAGCTTACGTATCAGCTCCAGCTAGCACTCGCTGAGCAGACAGGCTATCTGTCATCATCAAATCAAAGCCTAGTGTAGGCCTAAGTCTAGCAAGCCTAGGCTAGACAGGCATAATTTGGAAACAGTTGTTAACCTACCAAACGTTATCCACCTTCATTCAATATCGTATATTATTATATATGGTACTTTACATTGCTTACTTAAATGCATTATTGTTATATAACCAAACAAAGTAAATATCGCGTCTAGTTCGATAGAGAGCTACTTGCTCGTCGTGTGTTTGTGTATTTCACCAAAGAGTATAAATAGAACAAGAGAGCAAAGTCCCGTTCGTAAAAACGTCATGCCTGTGTAGGACGCCAACTAACGGTTGTATATTCTTTTTATTACCCAGTGCAGCGCTGCGCAGCGCGGTAG